TCGAACTCGTATTGGGTACCATCGTCGGGCTAATAGTTGAAGAAGCAATCGGTGATTGAGGTAGAGTGGATGAACGGTTGTACATCGATAGTCCTGAGGACGATGTAAGGGATGGTACCTCTGAATTACTCGTATCTGAGCTAAGTCGCCCTGGAGTTGTCAGGGTCTGTTTAGCTAGATGGGGTGACTCATTCGCGTACGACGGGAACGGACTGGCTCCAATTGGCGTGATCGAATCCCGCTGTGGTAAGTTTGAGGCAAACAGAGGTGGACTGCATGGATAGCGAGTCAAATCTGGAGTTGAACGGCTGTTCGTAAGTTCTATATGTGTTGGAGGCGTGGAACTACCAACTGAAATATAAAAGAAAGCAACCAACTCAACGTGAGCTAATGACTATATTCAGAACTAGATAAGTAAAACAACCATTTCTCCGTTGCGATCAGTCGGCTGAAATGAGTGATGTTTTATATAGTGCAAGTAAAAAACATTCAATTATGTAAATGGAGAGCAAAAGATCAATTTGCTCGGGGGGATAGACGCAGAAAGAGAGGTGGTTGATTTCGAGCCGGGATAGTCATAATTCCATATGTAACAATGCTATTATATTACTAGTAAGTTCGGATTTACTTATTCAAATTTGATTCATGTTTTCAAAAATCTGCACTTTTCGTCGAATTACCTTGAATTTCTGCTGGAAGATTACTACAGTTAACTTTTAGGGAAACCACAGTAGTAATTGTGTTCGCTCAGTATGCACACTTAATGCGAGCTTGTGAAAAAATATTCACGATAATGTTATATAGTTTGTTCTTTATACAGTAATACCTTTCCGGACAAAGAGAGTCCGCTTTTAACTTCTAAAATATATCTTTTTATCACCTGAATAGAGGGCGTACTGGTTCTTTTGGTTCTATTGGTTATTGAACCAGTAACTGGCGAGCATAAGGCATAAATGGTTATGGTTTCAACGCCCTTGATGAAAGAAATTTACGTGTGACTGAACATATCATACTGAGTGAGCGCAGGTGGAAAGAAGTAAACTCTAGTGCACCTCATTGACTTACGGGCTGATCGCAAAGCGCGCTTCTCGGCTGATTGCTTTAGGCGTTGCATCTAAAATAATAGGGAAGATATTTGACCAATTCATGATTTTCATTATGTAGGGTTCCAATCACACAGCGAAAAACAGCAAAACAAAGACCGGACTTCTACCGAACCCAAAAGACCAATAGGTCAATCCACTGCAAAACAGACTTCTTTGAGAGAGCTGGCGAGCTAACAAAGAATTCAGTCTATCTCATATCAACACCGAATTGAACAAGTGTCACAGTAAGCTGAAAAACGAGCAACCAAATTCGGAGAGCTCTTAATTGACTGAATTACGGGGGCCCGCAATCAGTTTTTCATACGTTAGTCCAAATGCACTCACTGCGTCCTATACCTTTTCAACTTCAAGTGGATCCGTCGTAACTTCAAATGTATTCAACCAATCGGACTCCACTGGCAAACCCACACGATTATTGGTGTTTCGGTCGTCAAATGTCAGCAGTCTAAATAAACTAACTTCTCCGTAAACAAACAGAAGTACTTTTCAAACGAGTTACTGACCGAGGAAGAAAGTTTCGGTGGATCGATGATCAACCAGTCATCACCATTGTCGTACGCTCGTAGTATACTACACTTGGGATACACTGCAGGATGCCACAGCACGTAAATAAGATGTAAATGTCAAGCGGTAATTAAGAGGATATTTATATCAAGTAGATAAACTAATCCACCAAAGAATATCGTATTTTTGAACAAGAATTCGAACTCCCCAATGTACCTCTAACTTATGGCCAGTACAACGCAGTTGCCTAATCATAATCCCGCAGACTGTTGTTGGGACACTGATTACCATCAAAAAGATTCATCAGATACCAGTAACGATGAACTTACTGGATAATAAAGAGAAGAGGAAAAGGTAATGTAACCACCTGTTTTTTAGT